ACCTACCTGAGGTAGGTTTAGACTGCCGTTTTTTCTATTTTTTGGGTTTTTCGTTTTTGTTTCTTGCTTTGCTTCGCAACGATCATCAAAATTCTATAATTTGATTGGCTGTGATCATGTGAAATTGCCCCGCTTTAGACGGCCCCCATATTTTAGGGGGTCGGTGCGTTTGGTATAAATTTGGAAATGATCTACACGCTGCACAAATTATCTTATTGATACTTATATAAACCAATAACCATTACTGCATCAAAAAAGTAACTCTAGCGCACCTTGCTTTAGCCATCCCTAAATATGGCAATAGGAATGCCAATCAACAATGATCGACATCAGCATAAATAGGGTTCATCATATGGAACTCAGAAGATAATAAATTTTACGCGTAGCTTGAAACAAACCACAATTAGAACCATGCCTAAATCAGATAATTACCATATTACAAAAACTTTAAATCAAAAGAAAAAACAATTGGAACAAGCTTACAGAAAAACCCTTGAAAAGCTTGAAAAAAAAACCGCCAAAAATCAAGAATAAAGATAGAAACTCGGTCCTTGACCATGTAAGAGTAGTTTTAAACCAGCACTCTCCCTTGGAGTCGAATGAGCCCAACGAAAACTCTGGTGTAAAACAAAGGCCATTTAAAAGAAAAAGGTCGCTAAATGATCTTGAAGGAAGAGGTGTTGACAAAAAGTCGAAAGTCATAAAAGAGTTAGGTAAGTAACTATAATTTATTCCAACAAAATTATGTAACCCGACTTTAGAAAAATCACTTGTGGCTATAACCTGCGATTAATTCAAATTTAGAGATAGGATTTATACTAAACAAGTATTGGTGGGTTTTAGGGTTAAAAAAAGCCTTTAATCTGATTTTATAGAGATTTGCATAATTTTATTAATTTAATGAAATTTGTATTCATGTCGGAGTAATTTTAAAAAATTATGCAAACCGCAATAATCTGCGACAGTAATTAGTAATTAGTAGTTGCGGGCGATTTCTGATTTATGATAAAAAGAAAAAAAAAACACAGCACAAAACGCAATAATTATGTGAGATCTTTTCTAAAAAAAAAAAAAGAAAAATTCTAAAACCTCATATATTGTAGTTGAAAATGTTTCAACCAATTAAGATAATGCTAACAATAGTTTATTACGCGTATTTACAGTGTCTGGGGAAAGAACTGACCTGCCTCCTATTCCTCCCATTGAAGATTCAATGTTCTTGGAAATGGCCGTAGGGTTTATATCTCATAATCCTCAATAGGAATGCTTAGAGTATTTTGGGGACAGTGCGATCGGGCACTGTCTCATGAAGATCGCGAAGGAGCGCTATCTTGGACGATATTCGGTAGGCACGATAAGACGAAGTGTCCAAATTATGGAATGTAATAAAATCCTGGCTGCATATACTTGGACAATTCGTCTTCATGAACTTAATCATATGGAGTTTCCGAAAATCAAAAAACTTCATGCCGATGCATTCGAGGTATACCTCGGTGCCTATTACCTTACTTGTGGAGAATCTGCCACTTGCAGATATTTAAAGGATTTGATGATCCCACTGTTGGATCTAGTAATCGAGAAAGTGGGATCTAATGATAATAATTATCCAAAAGATGCATATGTTGTAGCATCAAAATACTTTTCAATGGAATGGATCTGTGATCTTGAACCTCTGGAAAAATAAAAGACAGTCATCCTCCTCTACAATCATTATAATATAAAAAAATGGTAATAAAATTCTGTGTAATTATATAGAGGTTGTGATTTTAAAATACCTTTATATAATCACAATTGGCTTATAATCAAGCTTTTTAAAAATTTTACTAGCAAAAATACTTTTATACAATTACAACGCAAATAGTTGCTATATATGAAAGTCAAAAGTTTGCTAAATAAATTGACGTTTAAGCATTATGTAAAGGCGTTCGGCATGATAAAATACATATATTCGGAAATTTTTATATAATTTGGACGAACATTTATTAATTCAATTTTTCATTATACGTTGGACGAAAAATTGGTTTTTTTTTCACTAACGTAAAATGAAAAAGTGAATTAATAAATGCTCGTCCAAATTGCATTTTTATTTCATTTTATTTTCGTATAAATTAATTTTTCTATGCAAAGTCGCGACAATCACATGATCATTATTTACCTGCTTAGGAAATTTACGTTTATATGTCATACTTTTAGTCATATGTGTACCGAGCTTTTGAAAAAGTAATAAAAAAATTTTCCTTTACAATTATGTAATCGCGCAGGTTACATATTTCCTTATAGAGGGCGATCAACCCTGTACGTGATGTGATCATAAGTTGTCTCTAACCTGATCTGGCACTAATATAAATTGCTAATGCTAAGGCATTCATATTCTATACAATAACGATATGTTAATCTATGGTATGAATTTAAACATCTGTCTTAGGGTTCGGAATGAGCACAGAAATTTATGGGCTGGCCGGGTTGGGCCAGGCCCAAGCTTAAAATTTCAAGCTTATACTTAATTAGGCCGGGTACGTTCCGGGCCAAAAACATTATGCCGGGTTTGAACCGGGCTTACAGCTATTATCATAATTCCTGGGACACCTGTGAAAATTTGCCGAATGATTTTTCTGCCGATTCGGTTAAATTTGTGATTTCGGGAATAATAGAGATAAATTGATATATCTGATATCAGATATGTACGTACTGTACGTACTGTACGTACGTACGTAATTTAAAAGTAGATGACTAATATAAATATTACAGTATTTATAAGACTATATATCGATATGCATATCTCTGGTTAGGGTGCGGAACGGGCCGGGCTAAGCCCGGAAATTTGCGGGCCGGGCCGGGCTCGGGCCTAGTTCGGGCTTATATTTTTGAGCCCGTTTAT